ATACATAGTTTGGTAAAAAGATTTTTTTATGCATAAGGGTGAAAATTGCATCATGGCGAATCTCAATAAAGTTTGTCAAACGTTGTATTAGGTAGTCAACTAAAAAATGTTTCCTGTTACTTTTCAATTGACTTTAATTTACATAATATAGTGATTGCTTATTAATCTAATTTCATAATATTCTTACAAGCCAATGTTTTCACAAATGGAAACTGGACAAAAGATGGCAATCGGATTAGTATGTATCACCACTACGGCGTGTATCAGAAACGATTTATGTATGTATGTAGCTTAAAAGTCTTTAAAGTTCTCAAAAAGCAGCTCGAGATTTTTTTTAATGTATTTTTTTTTTTTATAAATTCAGCATGTTATATAAAAAGCTATTAGATATTTGACACTTCAAAAGATGTACATATGTGTGTAGATATATACATATGTATATACGAGTATTAGGTTAGGTAAGGCAGCTGTATTGAGAAACATTAAGACATACCTTTATGTAGTACTTACAAATAACAATTTGCACAACATACAAACGTGTATGTTCAAGGGCATAATTATTAACAATAGACTTTAAATACATCAATAAAACTTATTCATAGTAATATAAATAAGGTTGGCGTAGTTTTCTTCTATGTATTTTTATGTATGTATTTCTTGCCACACTATTTCTCCTCTAACTACATTTTGATTTGTACATACATACATAGACATGTACATTAAAGATGGTTTGTAGTTGTTTGTTCAAAGCTGCACAAAATGCAATAATACCGTACCGGCGTTGACGTGTACGGAACTGGCCAAAATCAATAAAATTAACGGGTTTGAAGCGAATAAGTCCAATTAGGAGAGAACATTTTATCGAACATTCATTGCATACATTTAAATTTAGAGTACCCAAACAAGCACATTTGGTGGTGGATTTTCAGCTGTGATTTTGACCACAAATGTCAAAAAGGTTTTAATTAAATATACATAAATATCACAGCAGCCAATTATTTTGTTAAAAATTGAATTAAAAAATAACACATTTAATGCACTTTCCTTAATTTCGCTCGCTATAAAAGAATATTAGATTACCTAGGATGAATGTAGAAAAAAGTTATAAACTTCTATAATATCTATACATTTATGAATTTGGATTTATACATATGTATGTACAGTGGCGTTCACATAAATAGAACACTTTTATTTTTATAATATTCACAATGATACGTTTTTTCGCAAATTTTCTATAAAAATATAGTAGATTCTATAACGTAAACCACATAAGTCAAAGTTTATGTGGATTTTTTCCGAATTTTCCAGCTTGCATATTATTATACTAAACTTGAACAAGCTAAAAAACTGCGTACCAATAAGTTTCTAAAAAAAATGTTGATAACTTTTTTTTTAATTTGTTAAAATATGCTAAACTGGCTTATGCTAGAATCCACTATATTTTTGCAAAAAATTAACGCAATAAATGTATCACGTAAAACATTGTGAATATTTATAAAAAAATAAAAGTGTGCTATTTAGGTGAGCGCCACTTTATATGTATGTACATATGTATGTATGTATGATTGCATATGTTCGAAAAGTTTACCAAATGAAGTTTGTGAAAATCTTTGATTTGAAACGGTTTTATTAATGGAAAAGCTCCATAACAAAACGCAATAACTCGACTTGAACATTTAATGGTAAAGGCGAGTTCATATAATAGTCGCCAAAGTCCATATACATACATATGTATGTTTACCACTCCGTTCCATAACTATATCAACATACCGAGTAAATCAGCTTGAGATTCATACATACATACATAACAAACTATATGTGGGGTGTTTCCCTTGTTCGAACTAGCTTGATTTTGTATTTGATAATAGTTGCGTTCGATAACAAAATTAGCCAACACCAGCCAACAATCAAAATCAAGAGAGTAAGCGAAAATTCTCTCCCAAAGAGATGAAAAAGCAAAAAAGTAAACGAACAGGAAATTAGCCATTACTTGCAAAAACCGGAAGATGAAGACACACCAGCTGACTTTGTTTATGTTTTATTTGTAAACAAACTGAAACTCATGTTGCCTCCATAGAAGAAAAAAGGAAAGTGAACGTTCAATATTCACCAGGAACATTTCTAGAAGTAAAAACTAGTTGGTGCTATCATAAAGTCACATAGCAGGCAGCCAAAAAGCATATAAATACCAAAACTCGGAAAATGCAATTTTGTTTGTTTACAGAAATTGCAACCATATGTTTTGTGATCATATGTTTTCGTGTTGGATAATTTTTGCTGACTAAAATTTTGCCAGTACAAAATGAACCCTTCTCTTGCATCAAAATGAACGCTTGCTCTCTCAATTTTTGTATGTTGGATAATTTTTTGTCGTTATCGAACGCCATCCAGTAAAAAATTGGAAAAACTATTACAAATTTTTGACTTGTCGAACGCACCTAATGTATCTGTACGGCTTGATAATTGGTGTTGACGTTGTTTTTGGGTAATTATATTTTGTAATTTCTTATGGCAAGGTAAGTCTAATCTTTCTTGTTAGTTGTAAAAAATTAAAATAATAATAATTAAGAAAATATCGTTGTTTCATAATTGTTGCGTTACCTTTGTTTGCTTTATATTGTAATTTCCAACATCCAATAGTTTAGAAAGGTTGGCAAATTTTGACTGGTGATATAATTACGGAACGCAGTGTTTAGACCCGTGCATATATGTATGTATATATAAATCTATAATAAACATCTCCACCGTCAGTGCCAAATGTCGTATTTGATGTGGCTTGGAATTTTTGTATCTGAATGCAACAAACGGTATAGTTTTCGAAAATATGTCTAATAGGGCCTTTCGCATTGGCGATGACGATACACACGAATTTTAACGATGGCAATTTCGGATTTTGGCGCGAAAGCAACTTCTTTAGATTCGTTTGAAAAAGGTTATGCGATGCTGTTTACTTCAAAACACTGTAATACACAACAGTGTTAAATTCCACTAAAACCCGAAATACACAAACGGTGGAATTATTGTGGTTAGTTATTTTTCGTTTTTATTACGCATTATACGGCCTTTACATGTGGTGACTTCGCAATCAATTCAAGCGGCGATTAGTTTAATCAAAAGTTGGCTGCCCAACTTCATTGGAAGCGATTAGTTGCAAGGCCATTCACACCAGGCGATTGTTGCTTTTAACTAATATTTGCCTGCAAAATCCCGCCTCATGTAAACCCCGTATTACTGTAATTTTTAGTAATCGATTTTTAATAGACAGTTATCTGACAAGCCGATATTTT